TTGCGTTTGAACGCGGTGGTTCGTGCACGCAAGACCGCGGAGGGCGTACATGTACACATGTCGGTGCTCGCTCAGTCTTCACTCTGGAAACCAGGGGGGGGGGGGAAGGAAGAAGCAGGAAGGATGGTGGAGAGGGAGGAGGGAGAACCAGGAGGGTGGAGGGGGAAGCAGGAGGGAGGGAGGAGGGATGGGCCCAGGCGTTCAGGTCGTCGACGGCTCCCTCCCGGTCGGCGCATCGGCAGGAGCTGGGCATGGAGTACCTGGGCGACGGCGACGACCCTCGCGTGGCGCGCAAGGTGGAGGACCTGTCTCCGCCAGCCATCTCCTGGGGGTCCTCCTCCTCCTCCTCCTCCTCCTCCTCCTCCTCCTCCTCCTCCTCCTCCTCCTCCTCCTCCTCCTCCTCCTCCTCCTCCTCGTAGCCATTCTGGCTCAGGGGCCTGGCAGGCGCTGGGACCCGTGCGGAGGCGCCCTCGCGAGCGCCGCGGCCGCGCTGCCCCCCTGGCGCGCGGCATTTGGCGGTGCGATGGGGCGAGGCGGGCGCCACGGGCCCACGGTCCGCCACGGTGCCGCCCTCGCGTCTGTGGGCACTGTGGGCGAGGCCGCCGAGCTCATGCTGCTCCTGCAGGCCAAGGGGCAGTCGGCGGAGCCTTCGCCAGTGGCGGCGGAGGCGCAGGCCGAGGCGGCCACGCGCGCGGGAGGCGGGCAGGAGGGCGAGGGACGCCTTTGCCTCGGAGCCCACGCGCAGCGCCTCGTCGGCTGTGGCGCTGAGCTCGTCGCCGCCCTGGGCGGCAGCACCTTGGCGAAAGGGCTGGAGAAGCTCAGGGACCAGGGGAGGAGGCCTCCACCGCACCTCGAGCGAGCCTGGCGGGGCATTGACACCGCCGCGAGCCTGCTTCGCCACCCGGGCATGGGCGATGAAGCCCTCGACCAGGCGCGGGCGTGGCTCAGTGCTGGCGGAGAGGCCCACGGGATGTCCAAGCTCGTGCACGAGGAGGCGGACTCCAGCGCGCAGGGGCCCAGGGAGAATGAGAGCAAGCTCGAGCAGAAGTCTTCCTGGCAGGAGCTGCTGGGCGAGAAGATGCTGGAGCTGGAGGCGGCAAAAGGCGGAGCACAAGCAGTCCACGGAACAGAAGGAGACCGAGCTGTTGGAGGCAATGCGGATCAAGGCCCAGCTGGTGGCCCATAACGCGGAGCTCCTGATGCAGCTTAGCCAGCAGGACCAGGAAATGCACGTCCTTGGGGAGATGCTGGACGACTCCCAGCAGCGGATCAAGCAGATGGAGACCGAGACGCGTGACCTCGCCAACGTGATCGATGAGCAGGGCAAGCAGATAGAGGAGCTCGAGGAGGCTTTGGACAACTTGCACATGCTCGCCCCGCTCGTGGAGGTCCCTGCCTTCCCCGCTCTGGACATCTTGCAGAAGAAGGGCGAGATCGACGGCGGGGAGGGCCAGTCGCGCAACGTCGAGCAGCAGAACGACGGCGACGCCCAGTGGACCGAGGGCCACACGCGGAGTTTCGCGGAGGGCCAGGGCAGAAAGCTCTACTTAGAGGAGGCAGAGGAGAGCATCGAGGACGGCCAGGTGCGCACAGTGGACGCGTACTTGCAGGTGGCCCTCGGCAACCAGCAGAGCATCGTGGAGTACCAGGGCCGTCCCCAGTGCGCCCACGAGACGGAGCAGAGCGACGGCGACGCGCAGACGGTCCATGCGCGGTGGGGGGCCGCACAAACAACCCCCAGCTGGTGCGCGCCGAGGCGCGCGACAAAGTGGCAGCCCAAGACTTGAGTCTTCCGAATCATCTACATATGGAAGATTCTGTCGTGTCTTGGAAATAATAAAAATAAAAATAAAAAATAAAATTAAAAATTGTTATATTAATTCATAATATAATATAGTATTCATAAATGAATAAATTCATAATAATATATTATAATATAATAAAAACAAGTATAACACTAAGTACAGATTCAGGCACATCCAGAGCCACTCACATCCACAATCACCCACATTCATTCAGACTCACTCGGCACGGTCCAACGCGCGCCCTGACGGCCTTAGCCGCCTCCGCCGCCGCCGCCATCACCGTCGTCGTCGTCGTCGTCGTCGGCCTTCGGGGGCTTTCCGCGTCGCCATGGCTGGGCGCAGCCCGAAAGATTTATGCGTTTGGACCCCAGGAGGGGTCTGGGGACCTAATTGAGCGGTCTTCGGCCGAGGTCGCCGTCGCCGTCGCCGGCGTCGCCGTCGCCGTCGCCGTCGCCGTCGCCGTCGCCGTCGGGCCGTCGCCGTCACCGTCGCCGTCGACGTCGTCGTCGTCGTGCTGGCCTCTTCTAGCCTTTGGCTCTGGCCCTGGCCTCCCCGACCTCCGGGCCGGGCCTCCGGGCTCCTGGCGGCCATCGCCGGCCGCGCCGCGGCGGCTCCATGCTCGTTGGCCGCGGCCGGCGGCAGGCAGGATGTTGTCTCTCCGCGACATCCTAGCCGCCGAGCCCACGGGCAGGGGCAGGGGCAGGGGCAGGGGGGGCCGCGAGGCCCGAGCATGGTCGGCGAGGTATGCGGGGGAGGTCAGGCACGCCCGCGTGCTCGAAGATCGGTTGAAGGCCATGGAGCCGCTGGTGCACTCGTGGAACGACCAGGTCCTCCGCGGCGGTGACACGATCCAGGCCGCCGCAGACGAGGGCGGCGGCGGTGGCGACGACGACGACGACGGAGGCGGTGACGACGACGACGACGGCGGCGGCGGCGGCGGTGACGACGGCAGCGACGATGACGGCAACGGCAACGGCGTCGACGACAACGACGTCGATGATGACATGATGACAAGGAGGAGGAGGAGGAGGACGACGACGATAACGGCGATAGCGACGAGGATGACGACGACGACGACCACGAGGAAAATTAGGAACTAGGACCCAACTAGGACGACGACGACGACGACGACGACGACATCCGACGACGACGGTGTCCGCGCAGGTCGAGGGCGTCGAAGAGGGCGAGTTCGGCCAGCACCAGCACCCGAACACTTATCGGACGGCGGGCATTTTGTCCGTCGCTTGGAAATCGCTGGCCAAGGATGTGAACATCGACCACGGCCTGAAGGCTCCGTGATTTTTCTTGCTCCTCCCTCTCTGTATCTGCATATCCTCATCCTCCTCATCCTCATCACCCTGATTCTCCTCTCCTCTCATCCTCCTCCCCCTCCCTCGTCCTCCTCATCCTCCTCCCCTTCTCATCCTCATCATGTTAACCCTCATTATCCTCTCCCGTTCCGTCCTTCTCAACCTCCTCTCCCTTCTCTTCCTCCATCCCGTGTCCTCGTCATCTCTTTTTTTTTTTCTCCTCCTTCTCCTCTCTCTCTCTCTCTCTCTCTCTCTCTCTCTCTCTCTCTCTCTCTCTCTCTCTCTCTCTCTCCCCCTTCTCCCTCCCCCTCTCCCTCTCCTTCTCCCTCCCCCTCCATCCGCTCCCAGCGTCTCTTTGCCCCATCTTCCATTCGCCCCCTCCCCTCCCTCCCTTTCTCTCTCTCTCTCTCTCTCTCTCTCTCTCTCTCTCTCTTTTTTTTTTTTTGTTTCTCTCTCTCTCTCTCTCTCTCTCCTCTCTCTCTCTCATCTCTCTCTCTCTCTCTCTTCTCTCTCTCTCTCTCTCTCTCTCTCTCTCTCTCCTCTCCTCTCTCTCTCTCTCTCTCTCTCTCTCTCTCTCTCTCTCTCTCTCTCTCTCTCTCTCTCTCCTCTCTCTCTCTCACTCTCTCTCTCTTCCTCTCTCTCTCTCTCTCTCTCTCTCTCTCTCTCTCTCCCTCTCTCCCTCTCTCCTTCTCTCTCTCTCTCTCTCTCGCGCGCGCGCCCCCCCCGCCGCCGCGCCCCCCCCCGGCGAGCCGCGGGGTGAGGGGGAGGGGGCGGGTCGAGGATCCAGGTTTGAGGGGGTCGAGGGGCGACGACGACGAAGATAAAAGGGGAGGGCGAGGGAGGGGGGGGGGGGGGTCGAGGGGGGGCAGCGGACGAGGAGGAGCATATGCGGGGGGAAGAGGAGGGTAGGGGAGGACGAAGAGGAGAATGATGAGGAGGATACGCGCACGTATTTTCTAGCATAGTGAGTTCTCTCTCCCCAGCACCCCGGCTCCGCCTCCCTCCATCCTTGGCCTCTCGCCCACGCTCGACCCTCCGTCGCAACCTCGATCCTCGGATTTCCTCTTCCGATTTCGACTTTCGCCCTCCTCGCATTCTCGCCCGAACCTAGATGGCGCCATGCGCCATGCTCGACCCTCCCCCCCACCCGCCCTTGGCGCGTCCTCCCTGTTCTCCCTATCCCCATCTGCCCCTTCGATGCCATCTTGCCCTTATGCCGTCGAGCCTCGACCCCTACCCCTCCCGGCGATATCCGCCTCCCGTCTTCGACCCCTTCGCCTGCGATCCCTGGTCTGCCCCCCCTCTTCCGCCCGACGCCAGGGCAGTTCCGACAACGCAGGCATGGTGATATGTGCGTCGGCGATCTCCCACTCGGTGCAGGAGGCTTTCCTAGACGGTGCCATGATCGAGGTGAAGGCCTCCGAGGCGATGCCCGTTATCAAGGTGTGGTATGACGCCACGCCGTCGCGCGTCAAGTTTGGTCGTCTTCAGGACTCCTGACGACGACGATCGACGATAGACAACGACGACGACCGACCGACCGACCGACCGACCGACGACTACGACGATCGACGACGACGACGGCGAGGACGACGACGTCTTGCTTTTCGCATTCTCCCCCTCTTTCCATTCCCGCCGCATTCTCTTCCTCGCCACTTCCCCTCCTTTCGCGTTGCCTCCGTCTCCCCCCTCTTGCCCCCCCCCCTTTTCTGCCCTCGCCCCCCCCCGTTCCCCCTGCCGACGCGCCCGCCGATGCCAGGAACAAGTGCTTCCTCACGCCCGGTACGCGGTGCAGGACGAGAAGGGCCAGTGGCGAAGCGTTTCGTACGACAAGTACATCTCCATGTTCGGAGCGAAGAGGCTACTCAGGCGGGGAAGGGAGGGGGGGCTTGTGGTCTTGTGGTCCACGGTGCAGAGGTTAGTTGTTAGTTGACGCGCTTGTTAAGTACATGTTGCGCGTGCATTCGTGTTTGCATTGTGCATTGCTGGCATTCCACGCTGCAACCTCCCCGGGGCCCCATTCGAGTTGTTCTCGGATCTCTGACACTGTGAGAAAGGAGAAAGGGCGGGGTCGGGGGTGCTCCAGGTACGGTATTGTGGATATTCTTGCGGCTGGTGCTAGTCTCGTCTATATCGACGGTGGCGGCGAGCTCAAGGGCGTCCGATCTTTCTCTCGCCCAGTCGTTC